GCTTCTCCTAATGTTTACCTTTTACATGACCATGTACCAATTATCACAAGTTTCTTTTCATTGCACTGTGTAAAGTGTTCAGATTTATTGTCTTTAAGGTAAGTGCCAAAAGATGTATTTCATAATATTTAGAAAAATGCTAGAAAACTCACTGATCTATTACAAACTAAGGAAATATACTCAGTGCCAAAGAATTTAGGATTCTTTCTAATATTAACATATCTCTTTATCTACTGGGATAGTAAGGCTTGGGAACTTTTTGGAATAATGCTAATAACACATTTATGTTTCCATATAAATTAGGGTGAGCTTTCATAGACTGTTTCATAAACATATTCACCAACAATGAATTTATGTGATTAAATACATAAACATAAAAACTGTTTGAATTTTTGAGAAGTTTAATAAATTTTTCTAAGAAGTGCAATCTTGGAAAAGATTTCTTATCAATATGTCTATTTATAGAACTTGTCATACAAACCCAAGATGTGAGATTAGGTTATAAACTCTTCTGGTATATATTTGCTCCTATTTTCTTTGTGCCACATAGGATGAAAAAATAATCAGAATATGTACATTGATTCTTCATGTCTATATCTTAAAAAATTAGAAATGTGTTTTTTAAAAAACAGAAAAAAATTATTCTTACAATCAATAGTTACAATATTTGGATTGAGAAAGTTATAAAATCTTAATTTTTTTAGTACTTCAGGTTTTCCAAATTCTTTCATATTTATTTGATCTTTCCAACAATAGCTTGCAGTAACAGATTATTATTATTATAATTCTCATTTTCCTTTTTCATACAACTATGTTGATATTTGTAACAAACTGTTAATGCCCCACCCTTTTCTCCTTACCCTACCATTTCAGAACAGACTGGCCTGATTTTTCACAATGGTGGGGGATGTGTCCATAGCAGAGTGTTAATTCCCTAGCATTTCCAGCCTGTGTAGGGGCAGAATAGACCAGCTGTCAGAGAAAGTCGTCAGAAAAAGATGCAGCTCTGGCAATTGGAAGACTAGCCAGCATGCATGCATTGAATTAATGCACCCTAGCAAAAGAACACCATCCATAACTGAAGGGAGTTGGTGCATATATACCTGAGTCTTCTCACACTTTGAGTGGGCTAATTCTGAAGTTACTGTTTTAAATGGTTTCTCAGGAATCCCAGTAAGATTAAGCTCTGCTCACAATGAAACTTGCTTGGTAATTCACCCTTCATTGCCTTCCTTCCATTCCCTGTCTCACTTCCCCAAATCCCTACTGTTTCCTGAAATCACTTTCTAAAATACACTATTTGCACTTTAATACTTAAGTCAGGATCTGATTTTGGTAGAACACAAACTCAGAAAAGTTTCCTAAAGCATAGGCTGAAGAGACACTCAAGTAGAGGGAGTATTATGTTCTATAGATAATAGGACTCATTGTAGGAAAGGCAGGAGGAAGGAGACAAATGGGTTTAGGAATATTTGTGGACATCGACTATCTGTGTTTTCCCTAGAAAGCCAATCATTACTACTGAAAATAGATTACCTTATGTCCATGTTACTCTGACTAAAACTTAGGAAAGAAAAGAACCTCTACTGAAAGCCAATAAAGACCTGGGATTTTGTTCTTCAGATTAATATCATTTTTATCGGAGTTGCTTATGTTCATAACTCATCAACTAATTAAGTAAGGAAAAGCACACACATTCTCTTGTATCTTATGGTGTTAGAAAATATTAAATTTGCACTGCCAATTGCTTGGTTAATTAAAAAATATTTCTTTTCAGAGAATTAAAAGGTCAAATATTTCTATTATATTTTTTAAAAAGTTCATTCAAACGTTTATTTGTATCATAAGAGGTATAGCATACTATAAACTGGGAGTTGCTTTTTAAAAATTTTTTCACTTTTATTAGCTGGTAAAAATGCAGAATAAGACTTAAAACGTTTATGTCTATTTAATCAGAATGATAGAGGTACACACAGTGTGAAATGGAGTATGCTTTTTTAAAAAACAATAAAACATAATAGGGAATGGAGAATAAAATGTACTCTCTGATAACCTTCATTGACCAAATCAGATCATAGCTAACTGACCCTTTGATGTCTGACCAGGTCTTAGGATAGTCTTTGAAATTCCTGGCATATCAGAGTTAAATAAATTATTGGTAAGCATGCTCTCCACATTTAAAATCATACCTTCTACTCCTAGGCCCCATGGAGTAGTAGATAGTATTTAAATATTAAGTCTGAAGAAGGAAATAAGAGAAGGGTCAAATAAATAAGAATGCAGTGACATGACTCTCAGGAAGCTTATGTCTCAGTAAGGCAATTTAACTTAGAAAGCTCATTTTCAATTTAACATACATGGCAATGACAGATATTTTCTAAAATATTTTAGAAATATTTTATTTATTTTTAGAAATTTGTTAACAAGCGTTTCCATTTTTCAGGCTTTCCCCAATTCAAAACTACATTATGCTGAATACTTTGTCCAAGCTTTAATACAATATAGCTTTGAGCTATCTTCATTTTTGAATTATCTTTGTCCCCTCTCTTTTACTGTTTTAAAACAATCTAGTAGCAAATCCCAGCCCTTTTCTAATTTTTCATTTGAAAACATCCTTGCATATTTTTGGTACACTTCACAGAATACTTTGATTGCACAATGTCTACCATCAGCTTTTTCTATCTTGACTACCACATACTTATTCCAAACCCTGATTTTCTTTCATCACAGCTCCCTTGTGTTTTTTTTTTAATCCAATTCCGTGTATAAATCCTCTTTATTTTGGTCATGAAGGCCATATCATGGTTTCCTATTACATCATATATCAGATAAAAATTCTGGACTTTTTAAAGGTTCACAGACTTTTACCAATATGTACTAACTTACCTGCTTTCCCTTTCTTTGAGGTCTCAGCATACCTTCTTCTCTGATTTGAAGCAAAGTGTTTTTCATACTCCAGATGAACTTTTATTCCTAAACTAAATGTTATTTTTTTTCCTTGTTCAGTGGACTATAATCTATCTTTCATCATTTAAAAAGCACCAGAAATCCCAATACCTCCTAGATGTTCCTTGCAATAAAGGACGCGATGAGAAGGGTTAGTATTCTTTTCCAATCCCTTCTCTGTCAGGAATTAAATTTTATTCTATTCTCTTTGGTTATTGCCTCAGATATGCAGGTATCCTTGGTTAGAATATCATGGAATTACAGTGAAGTTCTTTATTATGCTAGCTTTTACTGAAACCATCATTCAGGTTGAAGTGCTATAGTGAAAAGTACAAGGAAGAAGCATCTTTGTTCTAGAAATCTAGCGAATATGTTTATACCTTTCCACATCTTACAACACATTTCACATCCTACAATACATTATCTCATTTGACCCTAAGACTTATGGGAAGTAGAGTTTCAGTCCCTGTTTTAAGTGCGAAGGAACTGAAGCTCTAGAGTACTGCAATATTCAAGAGGACAGACTTTGGAATCAGGAAGACCTGAGTTTGAATTATTGAGACGATATTTATACCTATGTGACTTTGAATTATTAATATCTCTAAACCTAAACTGCCTCATAAAATAGGGGCCGTAATAACTGTATGATATACTACACGTAAAGAGCATCACATGTAAAATGGATTGCTTGTCACACGGTAAGCACTTAATAAATAGCCAACATGTTAAAGGATTTGCCCAAGACACTTTCAGAACATGACTGCAAGGACTTGAAACCAAGATTTCAGGCTCCAAAGCCCATGTTTTTCCACTATCCCTAATTCCTAGCACACTGATTAATTAAACAACTAACTTGGTAGATGACCTTGAGCGAAATACTTCACTGAGTCAGTTTACTGATCTGTAAACTGAGTCTTTTCAGACTTTCAGAGTCCATCGTTGGCTGTTATTTTTTTTCTGTAGCGTTGTACACTTGAGGTTCAGATTCCCTATATATCCAAGATCTGTATAATCGTGAGCCGTGCACATTGCAACTAGTTTTATTCCTATATTCATACTTTCTTCAATAATTAGTTTTGTGTACACTCACTCAGCTGTTGCCTGTCTTTAATCTGCCTATCAGCGCCTCGTGAAGGGAAGACCCATATACCTAGCTTTATGTATTTATATCCTGGCTTGTTCCCGAAAGGATTAAAGGCAGCGAGTGACACTACAAGTTCCCTAACGATGTTAGTGCCACTAAAAAATACTCTTTTGATGAAACAACCCGTAGAAAACCGCCGATGAGTTGAGATGCTGTCTTTTACCTAACTCTTTAAAAAATAAAAACTAATGTACCTAGCTAGAAGTCCTGGAAGCATAAAGTTAAGGTTCCTCCTTCAGCCTTGACGCTGTCTCACCCGTTGTCAACGGCCACTCGAATGCCCTTCTCAGACTAGTCACAACTGTCGCCGCTCCAGCCCCGGCTTGACCGAGATCCCACCCCGCCCCTTCATTCCCTCTCATACCTAAGTTTCCTGATTGGGAAGGGGCCTGAAGGACCTTTCTCATATTCCCATTTTATTGGCTGGCACGGCTGTCAGTAATCTCTGCTTCCCGCCTTCTAGCCTAGCGCGTTTCTTAGACCCCTTGGTTTCTGCGACAAGCCGCTTGAGTTTGCCTGAGCCGTGTTGCCGGGGACCCGAGACCTTTCACCCCTCCCTACCCACAGGAGCGCCTCAGCCCCCGTCCCCGCCCCCGTCGCCGGCGCGCGCCCCCGGGTACGCGCTTAGCCCGCGCTCACACACGCACGCGCATACACACTCATATACACACGCGCGCGCGCGCGCACACACACACACACACACACACACCCTCCCCCGCCTCCGGCGGGGCCCCCTCCGCCCCCGCAGGCTGAGGTATCGGCGCTGGGAGGCGGCAGCTGCGGCGGCGGCGCTGCTGAGAGGCAGGGACCCGAGCGCGAAGTGTGTGGGAGTCTACGAACTCAACCCCTCTCTACCCTCCCCTCGCAGCCATCCCCCTCCCTCCCCGCCAGCCCCCCCTACAAGCGGGAGAAATAATGAGCGAGACCGGGCGGCAGCAGCAGCATCGCCGAGCAGCCCAGGCAACGGCAGAACCGCTCCGGCAGCAGCGGCGGCGGCAGCACCAGCGGCGGGAGCGAGCGCAGCGCTAGCGCGGCGCGGGGATTGCCGCGCTCCTTCCCGGCTCCTGCCCTCCTCCGCCGCTCGCTCCTCTCTCCGCATCCACCTCCTTCCCCTCCTCCTGCTCATTCACTCTTTCCCTCACTCTCCCCTCCTCCTCGGCTTCTCCCCGCGCCCCGCCAGCCCTCGCGCTCTCCCACTCCCTCTGCCCGTCCTCCCCGCTCCCCTCCTCCCGCTCATTCACTCGCCCCTCTCCCTTCACTCTCTCCCCCTCTCTCCTTTCTTCTCCTTCTTTCACCCTCCGTCTCTCACACCCCCTCCATTCCCCTGTCTCCTTTCTGACACTGCACTGCAGCTGCTCCTCAGCCCTGCCCCCTCCCCAGTGAGAACAAACCAGCAACATTGCTTTTTTTTCCTAAAGAGATTTCTATTGATCCGATTAAAAAAAAAAAAAAAAAAAAACCAACAACAACAACCTTAAGAAACCCCAAACGCAAAAAAAAAAAAGAAAAAAAGCCAAAACAAAAGGGAGAACCTTCTCCCCGTAGCAGCGGCAGGAACTGCAAACATGATGGCGGCAGCTCCCATCCAGCAGAACGGGACCCACACTGGGGTTCCCATAGACCTGGACCCGCCGGACTCGCGGAAAAGGCCGCTGGAAGCCCCCCCTGAAGCCGGCAGCACCAAGAGGACCAATACGGGCGGTGGGTATCGCTTCCACCTCCCAGCTGGCCCCATCCCCCGCCGCCCGCCCCTACCTCCCTCCCTCCCGCCGGCCTCCCTCCCTCCCGCGGCCCGGACACCTCCAGCCCGAACCCGGCGGCTCCCGCGCCCCTGCCCCGCGCCCCCTCCCCTGCACCTGCCCCGCACCTCGCCGTCCCGGACACATTTCCATTTCTCTGTTTATCATTCATCAAAATGGCGACCGGTTTTTCGGAATAGACCTATCTTTCCATTTAATCGGTCGAAAGACTGACCATTTAAATATCCTAGACCTGGGCAAGGGGGTCCGTTAAAGAGGAGGAGGATGACCCCCGAGTGAGGTGATGGCCGCCCGAAGATGCGCGCTGCATTTAACAGTCTGATAAAATAAATAAATAAATGGCACTTGGGTAGCGGATAGCAAATGATTGGGGCACAGGAGAGTTTTTCTCTCTTCATCCCCTTGCTTGGGGCCACAAGTAGTATGCAAAATCTTGATGAGTGCATGCTCTTACCGCACTTATATTGTCGTGGCAAATATCTCATTGATTTGTCTTCAGAGGTGTGCATACGAGGGTGGGGGTGTCTGGTACTGTGACTTGTTAGTTTAACATCCTGCGCTTCCTGGGAAGATGAGTTATAACGGGACCGGTATCGCTTCTTCATTTGCACTGGAGTCATCTTAACAATGCACCCAATGCATCGAGGCAGAGGTGAATTTATCTACAGCATGTACATTAGAGACGGATGGGAGTCTTGCGAATGGCACACCCGCAAAATTTGGAACGTTTATTCACATGAGGAAGCTGGATTTACCGGGGTGTTTCCTATTTAAGACTTGATCAGTTTGTCGGAAATTAAAGTTTATGGAGTTGGCTTTATTTTCTAAAACATTTCATTTCACTCTTTCTTGGGTCATCCACCCCCTCCGCTTTAAAAATTGTGGCTGTTTTGGAGTAGTAACATAATCTGTTTGGTCACTTTTAAGTGTATTTGATATAAATGACTCCTAAGCTTTTTAGTATTGGCAGAATTCTTCTTAACGTCCTTTAACTAATGAGCTTAAACGAGATCATGGTAGACTAAGAAGTGCTAAAGAAATACACCAGGATTAGTTAGATTTGCCAGTTCACATCACTTTGAGTTATTTCCTGGCAGTTATTGCAGGCTTGGAATACACCCTACAGTTTGGGTGGATTATTTGGTGGGAGAAGTGTTTGTTTTGTATACTTTAAGTAGAATATAGGCAATGGCTAATTGTAGTCCTTAGATGTTTGCTAATGTCAAACAAATATAGCTCATCACTATTTACAGTCCTTTTACTTATTTATTTTGCAATATGTTAAGCGAAGGTTTGTCATCATATAAATCTCTGAAGTTTTGTTAAAGGGTCAGTTCATTTCATTTTACCATAGTAACCACAGATAGAATTGGAAGACTTCCATGTTTGGAATAACAACTGGAATTTAGTCATCAGTTTCTACAGTGCTGCAAAATGATAGAACATGTTTAGTTTTTAATTCCAAGTTTGAAAGTATAAATCCTACAAAATGGGAAACATTTTGTACCTATTTATTTTTCATTGTAATTGGTTTATTTTTGTTCTTTAAAAAAATTTAACCCCATATTTCCTGCAGCTATATGCCCAATGTTTTAATTGCTGTTTTTCCCTCTTGAGGGTGGAGAGGGGATACAAAGTTTAAAATTATCATGTTAACCAAGTATATTTCTTTGCATTTTTCAGAAGACGGCCAGTATTTTCTAAAGGTTCTCATACCTAGTTATGCTGCTGGATCTATAATTGGGAAGGGAGGACAGACAATTGTTCAGTTGCAAAAAGAAACTGGAGCCACCATCAAGCTGTCTAAGTCCAAAGATTTTTACCCAGGTAGGTGCAATGGTGAAGGGATTGTTTGATAAATCCCCAAGGAAAGAAAGAGAAGATCTACCTGTGCTGTATGTTGTATGGAAAGAAATTCTTAATAGTATAAACTTCATTTATCTATTGTATTTGTGGAAAATTTTAAAGTATATTTCTACTGTTGGTGTTATGTTTTGTTTCAATAATTGATATACTGTGTCTGATTTAGAATAATTACGAGATGAATCTTTTGGGTATTTCTAAATACTTCTTTCTAATTAGGAAGAAACTCTAAAATTTAAAGATAGAAACATGGACAGCTGGCATCAGGAAATAGGGTTCTTTTGAAGTTTTCAGACATCATTGTAATGACAATTAGTCTAGAGTGAATTCAGAAGAGGGGGTAGGAAGGCTTCTTAAAGAATGGACCATTTACTTCTAAATCCATTATGTACCTCTTTCTGCTTCACTGCTTTGTTTGTTGGCCCTGGAGTGAAGTAAAGAGGACAAGTGCTGCCTCTTCAGATTTTTAAAATACTGCGTTTTTAATGTAATTGTGACAAGGAAATATATTATTATGTAAGAAGGAAAGTAATACTTCAAAATTTGTTATGAAGAGCTGTATTCGATTAAAATATGTTAACAGTTGTGTGGTACTATAACCTACTGGAAAATGACAAGTTTCCTAGGTGGTATAATTTTTTTTTTTTTTACTTTTCAGTGTGTGTTTTTTATTTCAAGTGTCATATAGTTCTGCGTGTTTTATCTTTTTCTTTTTTATCATTTTGCTACTCAGTATGTGGGTTTTAAGTTTAACTGGAAAATCTGCATAATTGAATAGTGTATCTCTTAGGTAAAACATGAACTGATTTGCTTTTACCCAGGTGTAGCTTCTGCCTTTTTTTTTTTTTTATTAGTTTGCTTTATGGCCATAAAAAATATTTATTCAGTGCTGAGGGGACTGATACTGCTTTTTTTTTTTTTTTCCTGGTAGAAAAGAAGAGCTTATTTACTTTCAATGATGTAATTTCAGTAAGAGTTCTTTAACAGAGGATTTCTTTTTCATAGCCAATTGATTGGTGGTGGAAAATGGACCATTATGCTAGAGAAAGTTTTAGAATGGTTGACAATATCATTTAGTTATATAAGATAAATGTAGTATATTTGGTAAACACTACAAATATTAAACTAAAATGTAATTTATTAGATATTCTGTCCTTCGAAAGTTTGCTCCTGTGAGTGTAGTTTTGTAGATGGCTTTCCTTGTCTCTGAAACTTTCCTTATGCATTAAGAAAGTTTACTAACATATTCACATTTGTATGTTTAAAAGATATATTATGATAAAAAAATCAGTGTGGAATTGTGAAAACCTTAGTACAAATAAAAGCACTCAAAAGAGCTTGATTGCAGAATTAATAACGTGATAGTTCTAGGAAAAGAGCTGCAATGGTAAATTAAATTCACTGTCAATAGATGAAAATGAAATAGCTTTTTTGCATTAAACATGAGGTGGTATCAGATGTGCAGGGATGTTACAGAAAATTGGTGTTTATCAAGGATATTCTAAATAGTAAATTAAATGCCTTTTCATTTGAATATAGTTTATTTTCAGTGGGTTGGAAAGGGTGCACCGAGAATTAGATCTTTTGTTTTTAGTCCACTTAGTTATGCGTATTTTTCTTATTACATTGAAATTGCTTATTTTATTTATAGTTCTGAGACACGTTATTCATACAGAGCAAGAATATCCGTTGGAAAAAAATGGAAAACTGGAATGCGTTGAACAAAATTTTGTGTGTGTAGTGACGTAACCTATCAAATGCGATTTGAAATGTCTGGATAAAAGAAGGCATATACTCTCTGCCTGTAACAGGTGGAAACCAAGCACACACTGGAATCAATTTTAAGGATAAAATAAAGCCTTGTAATTAATAAGAAGCTGTATTAATTCTGAACACTTTTTATTTAAATGTGATATTAACTAGGTTATTACCTGTTCAGACAGATACATCTCTCTTCTTCTGATAGACTTCAATTCTAATAGTCTTTCTGTTCACACTTGACAACAGCCTGTGGAATTATCTGAGGTCCTGGTATTCTTCAATATAACAGCCTCTGAGCTACTTTCAACTTCTCGTACTCAGATATATTTAAGGGATACTTACCTGCTCATCTCAGACAAAGTAAATTATAAAACTATGATTTATATCGCCGTGTTACAAGTACTTTCTTGTAGGATTATGCAATAATTTATTTGGAAGCCCATTTTTGTGTTTCATATATGTATTTATGACTCCTACTTGATTAGAATGAATATGCCTGATGTTTATTTCATGAAGAATTTTTCTGTTTCTCATTTGGTAAGACAGTGTATTTGGGGGAAAAGTGTACTTTAGTTGTATAACCTAATGGGTTTTCTCAAATCACCTAAGTTTTGAAACAGAATGTAATTGTGTTCAGAAGGTTTAGTTAAAATACTGATGTATCTAAGACAGATTTTCTTTAGGATATATAATGCAGGGTACAGACACACTTTGGGGATATTTTAACAAATTTCAACTCAAATGTATGTCCATTGTTTTTATTGTAGCCAATATAGTCTACTCATATTTATCATATTTGTGCGTTTTTGGATTTTTTGTTTGTTTGTTTTTTGCTCAGCTTGGGTCTTTAAAATATCTTAAGCAACCTTGCTTTTTTGAGTAATTTTTGATACTTATGGTTGAAATCAAGAAAATATTTTATGCACATTAATTGGTATGATTTAGAATTTGTAGAACTGTATATTGTATTGTGTATTTCAGCATGTCATAATAAATAAAATAATTTTGGGAAATTGTATGATGAGGATTGTAAAGTGCATTTTTAAATTACTGTAATCAGAAAGAAAAGATCTACAAGTAGACATGCTTTATTTTTTACTGTGCTTTGTAATTCATTTATCTTTTTAAAAATCTAAATCTTACAGAATAATACTTATTACCTGTGATTTATGAATATATCTTTTTTTCTTACTTGATTAAGCCAGCTTATTTATTTATGTATCTTTTTTATAAATAGGTTACCTAAAGTTGTTGCCTTGTAGTAAAAAAACAGCTTTCTCATTTTGGAGAATATATTACTGAATGCATTTTCAGAATGGCGATAGTGTTCTCTTATTCTTTTATTTGGCATCTGAAGATGTATTTAGTTTTGTTAATAAATAGATTGATTTTTTATTAAAAGTAATGCATGGCTCAGGTAGATAATCCAAAAAACTTATTGAATATGTATTGGTTAGGAATAGTAAAGGATTTATAAAATATATTTTTTCATATGTGCCTTAGATTTTAGAATTCATAATGTACCTATTGTTATTCCATTGTATTCCATTGTATGAATAGAGATATTCATTATATCAATCAAACAAAAATACTTCACTGTAATCTTAGCATATATTAGTCTCTATCTTACACTGTTTTCATATTTATGGTTAGAAAACTGGATCACATTTGATGTGAAGTATTTCCTTTTATGGTCCTTAAGTTAAAATTCGAATTTATATTCCTAGATTTATCGTAATCTTAGCATTGTCCAACTTAGGTGATGTTTTTTGTTTTGTTTTTTTAAATCACAAGCCATTTATATGTTAAAATTTTAAAGCTCATGAAAAAGCAGACTGTGACTGAATTTTTCTTTTAGTGAAGGAAATACCCAATACTACCTTAATTTTGACCTGGGAAGAATTCAATGGCCAATTTAACCTCTAGGATCGGAACTGTATAGCATAAGAATGATCATTTTTTGGAAATCAGATGAGTTGATAAAGTTTTAAAATAGATCACTTCTTTTGTTTACATTGTTGAAGGAAGAGTATTATGATATTGGTAGTATAACGGGAATATTTTAGTTACAGCTATTAAAAGTTGCAGTCTAAACACTTTGATCTAGATGCAAAGCACCTTAGAAATTTATTGATATATATTTCAAGGCAAAATTAGTAGGTAAATAGAGTTGTAAAAAGGAAAAATAAAGTAGCGTAATTTCTAGGATTGTTGAGTTTAATATGATGGTTATCATTACACTATGCTATATCTTTGATTTTAGTGTGATCAAAGAGTTTCTGACACATAATGTGTTTTTCTTTAAATCTTAAACTTGTAATATTTGTCATATTACCTGTTTTGTGGGTTACTTTATATTTTGTCTCTCTATACCCTTAGTTGGAGGAGGAACCATAATCTTTCACTTAGACATTAATGTCTCCGAAAATTTGCTGTATATTTAATATTTTGTTTCTCATTTTAAGCAATAGAAAATCTTAACATATGAAGGAATGTTACTGGCATAGCACAATATATGTTAAAATTGTAGAGTCCAAAAGATACAATTTTGATACTTAATCATGTAAGCAAATATTTTGTAGCATGGGATTTTTAGAAAAATTGAATTAGCATTAGAATTCTTAGGTATTCAATTTATTTGATTCTTTTTTATTTCATTCTGATGTTATGTCTTCTATCACTGATTTAGTAAGTTGTGGAACATCATTTACACTGTTGGTGTTTTCATGAATTATAATGTATAATGTCACTTTGATATTTGCTATTTGAAGCCTTCTGGATTTTAGAAAAATAGCTCATTTAAATTTGTGACGTTGTAAGGAAATCCATTACATCTAACAATATCGCCTTGCAAATATCATCCCCAAAAGATTTCAGGACTAGTTTAGAAATAGTGAACACAATTGGTGAAATAGTTCAGTATTTATGTATGGAAGATGTTTTGTCTAATATACAAGAGGAAGAACAATCTGCGTCTTGGGAACTCTAAGGAGTATGTGGTATCACTAAAAACCTGACCAATAAACCACCCATCTTGAAAACTTGTCTATTTTTTAGCTATTTTGTTCTGTTTTGCTTTGCTCTGGCTTAAGAGAATTTTTAAGCTTTTCAATAACACGAATAACACTACTGAACACAATTATGCCACTTGTTACCTAAAATTCAGTACCTAATAAACTATTTTTTAACCATAGAATTTAGTC